TAAAGCATATCGATCGGATACCGGGCTTGGTTGGACACGCTGCAAGATGTGATCAAAGAACGGGTGACACCGCAATCGTCGTTTTCAGAAAATATCCAGCATTTAGATGAAATAAACCGTCTGCTGATTGAATGAATCCAAAAACTTGAGCGTTATAAGGGCTTTACATGAGATTCTCGCCGTCGGTAGAAAATTGATGAGTGCGGCGTTCCAGTACTCAATACACATGGTTGTACACGATGGGTTCACCAGTTTCTAATTCACGTTGCTGTTACTTATGAAAATGAACGCTTTGTGACCTTACTACTCAAAGGGATGAGTAGGCGGAGTTCAGCCAAAAAGAAACCCACCGGACTGTCGTTGACACTACACGGACACTGCAAACCAAACAGTGCACAGCAAAATTCCTACGGGCATTCGGGACTCACTGAAGATATTAGGTAGATCAACCACACGGATATGACAGAACAAAACAGTGAGCAACAGTGGTAGCATACTTACCCCACAGCTTTCCCTCGCTTCATGGGAGTGAAATCAACCCGTCCATTGTCCTGCCGGTATAGGATGAAAACATAGCGATGATATCCGGTGCCTACATATGGCAGCGGAGGAAGGTAGGGAACGATTTCATCCCCTTTGGCCGGCTCGTCTTCCCCACAAACTTGAAGGTTTGTCCTGCATGTGGGATGTGAAAGCATAATGTACTGTGAACACAAAGTATAGACAAAGCGGCCAAACACAGTCCCTTGCCGTCCAACGAAAGGACACTTCTCGCAAAATAGTTCGTTCGGTGTTCCGTCTCAGAATGGTTTTCGGGTAAAACGCTGAATGTCTAGCCACGTCTAGTTTAGAAATGAATTGCGAGATTCCCTATACGAGACACGTAAACGGTTTCCAATCAATTGCGACTGAATCTTTCTCGAAGAAAGAAACGCACTTCGAAATGCGAATAGCCAATGTTTAAATACAACATTCTAATTGGTGAAGTACTGTGGAACGCAGTTGAAACAGACTGACTTCTGTTTGGGACGCAGACAGCCCAATCGCAGGTATTCCATGGTAGAGTTGGTTTCACCTTCAAACCCTAGTCAATGTGTCACCTGGGGACAAACTTGCGAATCGAGGTGCCTAATACCTTCCTCAGATACCTTCGCTCTAATAACAGGTATAAACACAAAGGAAGAAGCAATCGACAGAGGGATACAGTATGAAAGTCCAAATCTTCACATGACCATGAATCATAAGCTGGAAATATATACACAAGAAAGGGATTTTGGCATCCATGTCCGGTGAATCAATCTTCTACACATCACCAATATGGGAGCAACTGCTGCGTTTGTCAATTTCCTGTAAGATGTAAACATCTGGGTGAGAGGTGTACTTTAGGCCAGTGATAAACAACGGTTACGGGGAATCTAAGAGTTAAACGTATAGGCTGTTGTTGAGGATATCCACTTTAGTAAGTTCCTTTCTACAGCGGGAAATGCAAAGTGTGTGTTGGCCCCAAAAGAGAAATATGAAAAACCCTAATCACTCGAGAAATAACGCACTTGATGGCAGGTGCATAGAAAAAGTTGTATGTGACAGCGCTGTCAACTGTCATGATAAAATTTGATACACAAATTGGATTTACACCTGGCTGGGTGTAAGCAACTTCGTCCATTTTCAATAATGAATCCAAACCGACGGTATTCGCACATAGCTTTTCATACATTTTTTCAGTAAATGTCCCATGTATGTTTTACACACACACTGATACGCCCAGCATGCTTTGAATACATTCCCGTTGCAACAAACTTGCAACTACAAGGAACTGTTTCACGACCCTAATATATAGCATAAAATCCCGACTGGCCTGGGAAAGTTCGCCACTGTGACTTTCAAGAAAGAACCTAACTAGATGCAACTGATTCGGCAAACAGTTGCCCAGCCCTCCGTTGCGTGTTTGTAATGCACGAGAACGACGAAATAATAGGAATGGGCTCGAAATATGTACCCTCTGGTCAATAAATCATATTTACGAGCTATCTTAAGCTCTCTCTGGTAAAGAAACGAAACACAGCATCCTAATGATGTTCTCATCTGGTTGAATCTAAGACAGTTGAACAAAATGACTGCCAAAAGAAGGCAAATCCGGAAACGGAAGTAAATTAAGATGAATCACAACATAGTGATTTTCACAGGTAGAAGCCCAGGGTCAAGTGAAACTTACACCACCCAGTGCAGATATTCATTTGCCGCATTTGAACCATCATCCCCTCCAATCGGTTCGTCTGGGCAGCTCATGACCAGTGTCCATAAGTGGTCCGTTGGTGTTGTGGAAAGGTCAATAAGCGGAGGAACCTAAAATTGGAGGAATTCCACACGAAACTGAATTGAAATACGAGATATCGACAGGTACATATACCGGTACGCCATAAAAAGCGCAAGCTGAGTGGATGGATGATATTCAGTCTAATTGAAACTACTTAATCGTCTGCCAGTTTTTCAGCAGAGCTTTAAGCTTTTCATGAGCACGTCACAGGTAACCGGACAAAACTAGCTTAATTAGGAATAGCTAGATTGGGAAAAAAAATCCATTAGACATAGTCACCAACACGTACCATTGCACATTCTGGGGTGATTAAGTTACCACTGAATACGGGAACAACACTGGTCGAGTCGGATGCGGTACTACCAGCTGACGGTTGCACATCAGCAGCGACGTAGGGATAATACACGTCAAAATTAATCTGAGGTACGAAAAAGTGCGGTGGCCCAAACAAAGCGTTGAAAATGTCGAAATGTCTTGCGGCAGAAAGGCGCCTTAGTGGAGCTTGAGTGTCTTCCAGGGCAGAGTGGACCGAATCAATAGGGACGGTTAACTGGCGCTTTCTAGCCGCGGGTTCCAAGTCAGGACGCTTGGTGTGAAATCGTTGTGAGGAAAGCAGAGGGGCTCTGAATGGAAGTCCAATGTCAACTGGTTCCAATGTCTCCAGACTAAGAGGTTTCTTATTGAGTTCTGTTGAAAGACGAAAAACAGAGCAAGTCACAGGAGCACGACATGATTCCGTATGTACTAACTTCCAAAAACACCTTCCACTGTGTCATAAATCACTTTTATTTCTGTTGTATTCAAACGTGCAATTTATCGTATTTATTGGTTTTATGAGCTATTTTTCCAGGGAACTCAAAACTAGCGAAAACGACGGTTAGGATCCTCAACCAAAGCATTAGGTTCAAAACCCCGACTGCAATGGAACGGTAAGTGGTGATACTGGCACAGGAGTCTAAATTTCAGGGAGAAAATGGCTGCGCTTGTTCCAAGCCTAAACCTGGAATATTGGGAGGCTGTGTTTGTCGGGAGAGAGGCCTCTCGTCCGGTAACTCACAGTTCGCGGGTCCCAGTCCAAAATCTCTTTCTTTGCACTAAATGTAATGTTAGGCGGAATTCCGCCAACATACCGCTATACCCCCCGCAGTTAGGGGCCGCTGCACCCAAGAGGTCTATCACGCACGCGATTAGTCGGAAGATCGGACCGCTTGTCAGTCCAGCATCAAGGAGAACTCTAGACCCAACAGCCAATAATGATCCTGTACCCACCGAATGCCGATTTTCAATGAGGGATCCAGAAGGCATCGGAATTTCCAGAATGGTGTCGCTAAATACACACTATATGGGACCAGTTGTACATGTGTTTTTCACCTCTTTTAGATGTACATACACATTGCACATCTTTGTTGGTTGTTTAGACGGGAACGTAGCTTGGAAGGTTAAGAACTAAGCTGAGAAAATACTGTTATTACATATAACAATCGTTCATTTGTAACACCCTTTTGGTGCACGTCATGACTATATAAACTATACCTTTACAATCCCCATTAACTCGTAATTCTCACTCTATATTTTCAGCTTATGTACTGCCGTTATTAGACGATTGAAACGTACACTACGCCCTTCTATTCCGTCTTCCTTCTAATCTCGTCCTGGAACTAGTTGACTCTCGCAACAGTGCACATCTGCCATACCACATGGAGGAAGCGTGAAGGGTGAGATACTCAGCCTGCCCAAGCCTAGACAGAAGTCGAGAATCGTAGGTTGGGTTCAAACCACGGACCTTCCGGTCAAGGAATTCGCGTATTAGGTGCTGAGTCACGTCAAGCCTTCGAGTCCTTGCATTCCGTGCACCCAGACTCATATTCGAGATTTTCCAAGTTGATTTCAATTCTGCGTTAAGGCCTTCATGCGCTGGCCAACCCAGTAGAAACTCTGTGGATGAAGTATGACCATTCTGCGGCATAGCTTGGTGAGTTGATGATGCATGCTAAAAGTCGCACACTTATAAGGTCAGTCTCTTCGCTGCCGTATCTGATGTATATCTATAGCTACGCAAAAATAATTACAATAAAGAGGTGTTACCAGAAAGAAACGTAAAATAGACTCGACAAAAATGTACATACCTGTCATACGCTCAGAGAAGGAGAGCCTTCCGCATGAAGGTACTTGGCGCTTAGGAAATGGATACCGACCGGGTTCAACATCAGGAGGAAGAAACCCACGCCTGTACCAATGGTTCCGAAAGCAGAGAAACAAGGGCAAGGAACGGTTGGTCAACAACGGACGCATTATCCGGTAAAATTATCGCACCCAACAGCCGTATAGGGAATGAACAAACAACTTCGATTGAACAGCGTGAGTGGCCCCAATAATCTCGACTCCATAAACTGCAATGGGCCTCAGAGAGGGCGACGCTGAAAGAAAAACAGAAATGGAGGCAATACTGACACAAGACCGATACAAAGGTTGAAAGACGGTCATCAAACTGGCGGGACAAAAGCTATCTCATTTGTCGTGTCCCATTTAGTGTTATCAACAAATATTAAACATGCCTGAGAAGAATAATTAAGAAACATATCATCTAAACTAATTAAATTTCAACCGCCCTGTACTTATCCACGTTACGAATGACTGTGTAGAAAGATCTCCAAGGGGTGTCAATCGTGCGAAGTCTCCTTACAGGAGGGGTCAACCCAGTTCCTCTGATTCCCACACTCAGTGCAAGCACTTCCTGAAAATGACCAGTATTACCCGCTCACACCTGGTCTCATTTGCCGAGATGGAGGCAAGTAAAGTAGACAAACCCTGACTGAGTATTTAACCTTCATCTTTAAACACAGCGAGTGAGAGTTCGTCAGAAACAGCAGCTCCACGATGCTTGACGGAGGAAAGACATTCACACATTCCTGAAGCCATCACGGGTACCAAGCTGACTGTCCATAGCACCGACACGAGTTGACAATCCAGCTGAGCAAATGGTGGTGGGTTCAATCGTTGTTGAAAGTGTCCAACTCGGCTATTCAATCGTGTCCCATTTTAGTGATCGTCTCGCTCATCGGGGCTCTAGTTGGGCCTGTTACGCGCATCAGCTGGAATTGTTTTTAGTATATGCCCAGGGATTCTTGCTTCCCCCCTACCCTCAGCTTTTTCAATCAGCCAGGCTGGTCTTCCTTTTGCCCAAATTTCGATAGTTCTCTCGACCAAAATGAATCCATGTCTGAGCTTGGGGCAATTTTCTTGTTGCTCGAGAGCTGGAGCTTAAATCTGGTAGGTTGTGCGATTACACAAGCGGAGCACCACGCATCTTTCCAACAACAGTGAACAGCATGTGTATAATCCGAAAGGAAATTTAACCGGCAGCATTGGTGGATTTGATTCACATTAGTCTCCCACAGCTTAGTAATGGGTAAGCGAGGTGTTCGGAGCATGCCCGTCCCCCGAAAGACATGGCAACGAGCGAAAACGAAGAAATGCCTGATCATAACCCAAATAGGTGCTTCAGAACGAGCAACAACCAGCAACCCAAACAACTAACGCGTGGATGGCGATGTGTTCTACCTGTATTGGATAAGACTCGAATGAGAGGGGCACCATATGTTCAGGCGGCTTTGGCTGTTTCGGAAGTTAGTACTGTGGTCAGCACATTACTGCAGCAGGCGTCCGCCGTTGTCCATTCGTCTGGACTCCAGTCCAAAAGGACCCACCGTCGAGCATCGGTAGCACTAACTGCACATTCATATTCTCAGAAACCACTGTATCTGAGCTCTTAGACCACGGTAACAAGGCGCTCAAACAGTCATAAGAACTCTTTTAGAGTGACAGGGCTGTTGTGTGTTGGGGCATAAGAAGACATGACAAACGGACAGCGATTTTCGGATCGTTTACAGGATACTCTCATAGATATTGCCAGATGAACCCCACAGAGACCACTATCATTCAGCAACCACTGAACCACAGAAAATTCACCTCGGTCGCTGAGAACAATGCCAATCAATCGCCCAGCTGTACCACTCTTTCGGTGCTTAGCTGCCATGCCACCCGAAGGGAGCACCAGGACTAGGATACTGCCAGGCCGTCCAAACCTAGATAGGAGAAGTCGAGATGCAGATGTTGAGTTAGAACCACAAACATTCCGATCAGCAAATGCCCACCCTAAACACTATGCCACCTCGCCTCCCCTTCCCCGTAGTGGTCGTACAACGAAGCGGTCTGGGGATAAAGTCGTACCATCTTCTGCGATAGGGTTGTAAACGCAGTTGGATGTTTCCCCCAGGCAACTAAGGTTGTCCATTTTCTGTGGAATCAGAGATGATGTCTCTCCTTGAGGAAAGACGGCCGAGAAAAGTTCGAGACTGAAAACCTAACACTGATCACTTTGTGGTTGACTGTGGGCGCATTATTCAATACGGTCGGGATACTTTAAAACCGGAGTCCGGTGCTGCTCAAAAGGTATCTGCTGAGCGCAGCTGCACTAGGAGTGGGACAACAATGCCTTGTTCCGCACGTCGTCGGACTAGGCCGGCACTCTGCAGAAAAGTGGATCAGACCTGTGAGCCAGAAGCCAGGGTAAAGATCTATGGACAAAACCCTACATCGTCCCACTGCCTTGTGGGCCAGATTTTCGAGTCAACGACTCAAGGTGGAGTACTTCAATCAAACCCACTTCTCTTGCTTGGGCGACCGGGAGGTACTATTCACCCTGCAGTTTGTCGCTCACAGGCCCTTCCCAAGCATCGAATGTTGCAGCGCGATCAACCTGCCTACCAGTCCCCTGTCCACCGTTCCATGTCCAAACCATCGCCCAGAAAAGCAAACCCAAATAACCAATACTAACCTCAAAACATCTGAGCCACGTTGCAACCTTCAGTGTAAGCAATATGTGCCGAATTGAGCAACACGCAACTCCTGCCGAAACCTTGCATTCCTCATCTGTCTATGTATGCTGTCTCCCAAGATCCGTCGCGAGTGTTTTGGTCGGCAAGTAGGACGGATGATTTGAAAACCCAGTTTGGACGACTAAGTCCGGAAGAAGCCCAGATAGGTGGCAGGGGGAGCGAATGCTTCAGTTGTGTGCCGGTCACTGTGTTCCTGGCCAGCAAGGACTCCCTATACAGGCGCTCACACCGAGTCATTTGAGGACGCAAACCGCAAGAGATTCGTGGACTCAGTTGGATCATGTAGCTACCAGTTACCGATGGAAAGCCTCAATTCGAGATTTTCGATGCTTCTGGGGTACAAAACTTGACTCTGATCATGCCATTGTGCAAGCCCAGTTATCACTGCTTTTTGTCATCATTACGCGTGCCGAAGCAGAGCGGTCCCCTTCTTCAGCTTCGACAAGTTTCAATAACTGAAGGCTTTAAAGGCCTGGCTACATGTCTAGCACTTTTCCGATTTCCAGTGATTCAACGTAGCAGCTGGAATCAACGTACCATTGGCATACGGTTCATAAGTGATGAACTGATTGATTGATTGATCCAAGGCTCGTTCGACTCAGTTGACCGGCCAGTTCCCGACACGCTTGCTCTGTAATGAATAGCCTGGAAGTTTGTGGACCTAATTTCTTCGTATATTCAGACTTGTGGGCCTGTAAGAGGATATAGAAAGTTCTACAAAAGCTTTCGTACGCAGTGGCGTCTGTCAAGGATGCCAAATTCTATTTAATTTCATGATTGTCAACTTAATGAGACGAACTCTGGGAGGTTTCCAAAGCCCAGGTGTTCAAATAGCTGCTGACGAAAGCTTTTTCGACGTGCAAGTGCAGACGATGTTGTCCTCATCTTTAACGAGGTTTTTTGGATGAACTGACCAAAGCCATCCCATCCTTTGGCATGCGCTTTGCAACCACAAAGCTGTGCTTCTGGACATGACATCCCAGGACACTCCATTTACAATCTGAGAGCTACCGACAGGTACCTCAGCAATTTTGCGAAATCGTGAGGCGTTTTACAAACTTGAATTTGTTTTGGGACGAACTGTAGTCCGGCAGATGAGGTCGATGAACAAATCTTCAAGGCTCGGGTTGCTTCTGCTAATTTGACACGTGGTGGGAAAGCAGCAAAGCTTTGAAAATCACTATTACCACAGATCTGTGATTCCTAATGCACCATCCAGCGACTATATATAACTATACAGACGCAAATGAGGTGTTTATCGTGTAGGTCTAGTTGGTATGAGACGAACCAACAAAAGATTGCCT